GGAGTATCTATTGTTCCTCATCTTACCCTCAATTGATATTGTCAGGTTTTGTGTTAGTTTTTAATCATTCTAAGATGTTTATAGACTTCCATAAGCATCGATATACATAAGCATATAGCTTATGGATATGCAGCAATCCCCATAGCATATGTATCACAGGTATGTGCTGGTACCTGATAAACAAAGTCATTAACATCTGAATTCCTTTTCATCACAATTTATTTTTAGAAATTATTCTCTGCACAGAAAAGACACTTTAAAAATGTTGAAAATTACTTTTTTTTTCATCAAAACATAGTGTTATTTCGAGATTTCCTCTTCAATTAAAAAAAATAGACTTGGTTTCTATGTTAAAATTAACCTTTATTTTCAGTATGAGTTTGCATAATGAATCTGTGAGAGAGAGAGAGAGAGAGAGAGAGAGAGAGAGAGATCGAGTTGGAAGTATACTCAGATTTTTATTCTCTTATCTCTTGGGGTATCTGGACTGGGCCTTTCACCTCTGTCCTCAAGTGGTCATTTTAGCTTTACAACATGCTGAACAATTTGATTCTCTATGTTTGATCATGTGAACAGGGTTGGAAAGTTTTGCTCTAGAATTAGTTAATATGTGTTTCATTACTGAATTTTTAAATATTTTAAATGAACTTAATTAAATCTTAAATTACAATAACTACATCCTACCTTAAGTTGAAGGTAAACTACTTTCTGGACCTTAGGTAATTTAATTATATTTAAGGGTTCTGTTTTTGTGTGTTTATTTTGTTTTATTTATAATGAATGGATTAAGTGCCAGACCTTCTGAAGTAAGGTCTCATAAAGAATTTGTTGGGAATCCTAAAAACAAACAAACAAACCACTATGCTCAAGTCCTACACCAAAAAACATTACATTAGAAATGATTAATCTTAGTGAGGAAGGCATGTTGAAAGCAGAGTGAGGCTAAAAGCTCAGCCTCTTGTACCAGTTAGCCAACCTGTGATTGAAAAAACAAAAATCTTGAGGGAAATTAAAAGTGCTACTTCAAGGAACACATGAATGACAAGAAATCAAAACAGTCTTATTGCTGATATGGAAAAAGTTTGAGTGGTCTGGATAGAAGGTCACAGCAGCCTCAACACTCCTTTTAAGACATAGCTTAATTTAGAGAAAGACTCTCTTCTATTCTATGAAGTCTGAGAGAGGTGAGAAAGCTGCAAAAAAAAAAGTTGAAAGGTAGCAGAAGTTGGCTCGTGAGGTTAAGGAAGGAAGCCATCTCCAAAACATAAAAGTGCAAAGTGAAGCAACAAGTGTTGATGTAGAAGTTGCAGCAGTTATTCAGAAGACCTAGGTAAGATCACTGATGAAGGTGGCTACTCTAAACAACAGATCTTCAATGTAGAACCTTCTATTGGAAGGAGGTGCAGTCTAGAACTTTCACAGCTGGAGAGAAGCCAATGCCTGGCTTCAAAGCTTCAAAGGACAGGATGACTTTTGTTAGGGGCTAATGCAGCTGGTGACCTGATGCTGAAATCAATGCTCATTAACCATTCTGAAAAGCCCAGGGTCCTTAAGAATTATGCTAAACTGCTGAGCTAAACTGTGACTCACGCCTGTAATCCCAGCACTTGAGGAGACAGAAGCAAGAGGATTACCAAACCAGGCTCGGTGGCTCGGCCTGTAATCCCGCGCCTTGGGAGGCTGAGGTGAGTGAATTGCCTGAGCCCGCGGGTTCGCGACCCGCCTGGGCAACTTGACGAGACCTCATCTCTACAATAAATCAAAAATTAGCCGGGTGTGGTAGCGTGCGCCTGTAGTTCCAGCTACTTGGAAGGCTGAGGCAGAAGGATCGCCGAAGCCCAGCAGGTCGAGGTTGCAGTGGCCTGGGCGACAAAGTAAAACTCCAACTCCAAAAAAAAAAAAAAAAAAAAAAGAGGATTACCTGAGCTGAGGGGTTCGAGACCAGCAATCTTCAAAGTGAAAAAAAAAAAAAAAATACAAGGACCATACATGAGAAGTCTGCTTGTTGGCTTGTATAATTTTAGCAAAAGGGGTCTGGAAATTCGTTGCTTCAGGTGGGAGGTGGTAGTATTGGGTGGGACCATAAGACATCAACCTAAGTATGCATTAACTGGTTCAGGGAACTGGGGATTGGTCACCAGAATTTTGTGGTGGAGGGGTTTCTGATGAGCTCACAAAAAGTACCTCATCAGAGAAAGAGTTAACCTAAAGGTTAACTGGAGTAAGGTTTTGTTGCCTTTCTTTCCCCAATCCACTGGGGACATTAGAATCAGCAGCACTGAGGAACCAAAAAAATAAATAAATAAAATAAAGGGCACACACGAATTACAATGGGCATGTTTGTTTCCCTTTTCCAAACTGCAGTTTTCCGAATTGTTAGGCATAAGCTGGCAATGAGGAAAAAAACTTTTGAACCTGAAGTGATGTTGATATTTTTATTTACATTTAAGAAGCAAAAATAAAATGGGTTAATGGGTTAAACTTGGAATATATAAACAAAAAGAGTAAGTAGATAAGGTACAGAGTAATGGATATTTTTTATGAGTTAAAATGTTACTCAGAAGCACTCAAGTAAGAACAATGAGCTCTCTAGGAATCATATTATAGTAGCCTTTGCCAAGAAAGGAGAACTTCAAATGAATGGCTGTTGACTTAGGGTCTAACTGGGATAAGTCCTGTTTGTAAAGCTGAAAGTGTTGAGTTCATAAACAAGTTGTGAATCAAGTGAACCTTTAAGCAGGGTACAAGAGGTAGAATTATGTTCTCTAAAAATTCATATGCTTTAATCCTAACTGTCTAAGAGAATTCATAAGATGTTTAGTTGTATAAGCAACTGGCACTGAAGGACTGTGAAGTATGAATGAGCTTAGAGCCCACATATTCTCAAGAGTTGCATAGAGAAAGCACAGTAGACATGAAAGACACCTATGTACTTAAGAAGGCCCTAGATTTGGACTCTAGCTATGAAGAGACCATCAGTAATGACTGATGTGTTGATTGCTAGCAATCAACATGACAATCTTGAAGACAGGAAGCAGTGAGTCGTATTGAACCCTGAAGTCCAGCAAATAATAAGTATTCTAACCTGGAGGATCCTCCCAGCACACGTGTATGAACATTATTTGCACATCTTCGAAGGATCAGGTTTAAAAGATGCTAATGAAAAAGAGGCACAGTACATGAGGGAGACCCCAAAAACCCCAGAATTTATTAATTTAAAAAGCTGTGTATTTATTCTTACATGTTTAAGCTTCAGTCACCTTTAAAGTACGTCTCTGTTTGATGCAATACATCTATTGAATGCTTTTTCCACTGCTCAAAACAGTTTTTGAACTTGTTGATTTTGATGCCTTTAGTGCTTCTGCTGTTTTTTGTTTCACCTCTTCCACATTGGCAAAACTTTTCACTTTGAAGACTTTTTTCATCTGGGGAAACAAAACAAAAAATAAAATCACTTGGGGCAAGATTGGGTGAATAGGGAGACATTTTGGGGGGTTTCTCTTGTATACTGTGCCTCTTTTTAATTTGCGTATATGAGGGGCCTGTCCTCCAAAAGATTCTGGGATTTTTGGGGTCCCCCCTTGTATATAAGAGCAATCAGGTTTAAATAGATGATATTTAAAGTTTTAACTAAGTAGTTTGCAGTAAAAACGAATATAGTACTGAATGATCCCAATGAAATATAAACAAGCTTAATCTTTTTTTCATAGAATTAAGAGAAAATTCAGTAGTTTACAATTGGGCATTTTTGTACTGTTTTAAGCACAATCTTTATCTGCAGTTAGGCATGAGTTGTTAGATAAAAATCACCAAAATTCGTACTTATTTGAAAAAGTAGATATAGAGAACAATCTTTACCCACATATGTTGTTAATACTATGCATAAAGGTGTACGAATATCAAATGAAAAAAATGTATAAATCCAATACGTCTACTTCAGTTATGTAAATTTCTCTTTAGTTTTTTTTTTTTAATTAACATATCGACAAAACCAGTTGTCATTATGTTAATGCAGCGTGTTAGTGCTTGCCCAAATTCTGGTAACAACTGTTTAATATGATTAGATAGGCTAATGTATTTTATATTAAAAAAAAAAAAAATCTGCCGGGCTCGGTGCTCAGCCTGTAATCCTGCGCCTTTGGGAGGCTGAGGTGAGTTGGATTGCCTGAGCCCGCGGGTTCAAGACCCGCCTGGGCAGCGAGACCTCATCTCTACAATAAATCAAAAAATCAGCCGGGCGTGGTAGTGCACGCCTGTAGTTCCAGTTACTTGGAAGACTGAGGCAGAAGGATCTCTGGAGCCCAGCGGGTCGAGGCTGCGGTGGCCGGGAGTGGCCACTGCACTCCAGTCTGGGTGACAGAGTGAGACTCCAACTCAAAAAAATAAAAAAAATAAAAAAATCTGAGCCGGGCTCGATGGTTCAGCCTGTAATCCCAGAACTTTGGGAGGCTGAGATGAGTGAATTCCTGAGCCCGCGCGTTCGAGACCGCCTGGACAACTTAGCAAGACCTCATCTCTACAAGAATCAAAAATTAGCCGGGCATGGTAGCGCGCGCCTGTAGTTCCAGCTACTTGGAAGGCTGAGGCAGAAGGATTGCTGGAACCCATCAGGTCAAGGCTGCAGTGGCCGGGAGCGGCCACAGCACACCAGTCTGCATGACAGAGTGAGACTCCAACTCAAAAATAAATAAATAAATAAACAAATAAATAAATAAAAATAAATAAAAAGCTGTTTTTGATTCTCTTCTATTGCCTTGGCTATTTACAATCGGAAGTAGTTGCTTAGATTTCTTCATGGAACACAATAAATATGAGAGATTGCCACAATAGCCTCTATAGGCTTAAATTATACTTTAAATATAAATGAAAAAGGGTAATTATTTTTCAGCTAGCCTGATGTTATCCTTGAGACAATTGTAAATTACTTATTATCCTTCCTGGAGTTAATTATATTAATTGTTTGTATTGAATCGGCATTTTTTATAACCCTTCTGTTTCAGTTGATTTATCTTTAGTGAATAAGGATGAAAAGGCTATCTATTTCTTGGGAAATTCTCTTGGCCTTCAACCAAAAACGGTTAAAACATATCTTGAAGAAGAACTGGATAAGTGGGCAAAAATGTAAGTATTATCTTAAAAGCTACTACTCTGTATCTCATACAGGAATTTTAAAAATCACATTATGCTGTCTAATATTGGAAAGGTATATAATAGAATTCTAGTACAATCATCCCTTGGTGTCCATGGAGGATTGGGATCCTGGAACTATCTCAGATTCCAAAATCCACAATGGTCAAGTCTCTTTTGTAAAAATGACAGTATTTGCATAGAAACATTCGCCCATATACTTTGAATCATCTCCAGATCACTTATTATACCTAATACAATGTAAATGTTATGTAAATAACTATTATACCATAATGTTTAGGAAATAGAGACTAGAATAAAAGTCTGTTAAATACAGATGTAATATCTTTTTTTTTTCCTGAATATTTACAATTCACAGTTTGTTGAATTCACAGATATGGAACCCACAGATATAGAAATAAATTCACATGGCAAATTAGTGGCAGAATCAGGAGGACAACTTTTAAAATATTTAAAATTTTAAGTCCCTCCCTTGTGTTGACATATCTAAACCACGTGTAACCAGTTTATTTTATTTATTTAGTGACAAAGGAGTTCATATTTAGAAGTTTCATTTTTTCATGATTAGTTCTTGGCTAAAGCATCAACACTTTCTTTCTTTTTTTTTTTTTTTTTTGATTTAGCCTCACTCTGTCTCCCAGACTGGAAGAGGGCAGTGACATGCTTACGGCCACCGCAGCCTCAACCTGCTGGGCTTAGGTGATCTTTCCACCTCGGCCTTCCAGGTAGCTGGAACTATAGCCACGTACCACTATGACCGGCTAATTTTTCGGTTTATTGTAGAGAAGAATTCTCACCAAGTTGCCCAGGTTGGTCTCGAACTTGTGGGTTCAGGCAATCCTCTCACCTCGGTCTCCCAAAGTGGTGGGATTATAGGCATGAGTCACGGCGCACAACCCAACACTTATTTTTGTAAATAAAGAAACAAAACTTACCAGGGATAACAAGAGGTCTGGTGAAGCAGAAGGTACTACAATCCACAAATAGACCATGACCTGTTGATATAGATGCTCTGTTTTGCCAGTTGAGCAGGTTTGCTCTAACAATGAGGGTGTCTTAAACCAGGACTTTTAAAAGTTGTCCTCTTGACTCTGCCACTAATTTGCCATGTGGATTTATTTCTGTATCTCTGTATTACTCTCCATCTCTTCTGTTCTACTTTTTCTGTTCTATTTTTATTCTTTTGAATCTAAAACTTTTTGTACTCTTTCACTACCTGAACCCTTTCTCAGCCCAGTCTTCCCAGCCACATTGATTATTCCTTCCCCAATGTTACTACTATTGAATAGAGCGTTTAGAGATACCTGTTTTTATTGGTTACATAATCTTAGTTGTATTACAAACCCTCTAAGGAAAGTAACCTAGTCTTATGTATTTTCTGTCTTTCCCTGCTAATTGTTGATAAAATTGAAACTAGAAATACTTTTTAAATATTTGCATTTTAAAATTTTATGCTTACAATTTTAAACATTCAAATACCTTCAAATATCTAAAATAACCAGGAATATATTTAAAATATTTTCTGATTATTAAAAACTGAAAAATTAATATGAGAGTGAGCCAAACTTAAAGATTAGGAAACACAATTTTCCAAAGATGAAACCCAACCAAATAAGAATTTTAGAGGTAAAATATTTGCCTCTTAAGTATTTTCTCTACTTCTCTTCACTCTTTATACTACTGGTTTTTCATATTGTGAGCAGCACCCACTTGTTAAAAATTAGTTCACATGAACTGTGCTAATTATTACTACTATGGCTATTTGGTAACACTGCAACATTCTTACTTTCAGTGATTAAGAATGTAATCTCACAACTGGAATGAATGCTAGAAGATTATATAATTTCTTGATCCTGTTATAAATTTATCCGCATAACTTTTATGCATAAATTGCAAAATACATATCACATCTGCACTAGCATGTTTTAGTTTTTAATAAACTGAGGTCATAGTTAAGAAAAAATTGTTAATATTCATTTTTTACCTTAGTGCAAAAGAGCGCAGAGAATTAGATTGAATGAATTTGAACTTTAGAGAGTGTCTTTGCCTCATAGATATTCATTCAGCAAGGCTATGCATTTTTATCCTCTAAGCACTTAAAAAAGATGCTGCTCTGCTATTCTATTCATATTCTTATGGTTATCCTACTTAAGTAAGGGACTGGCTAATTATCATCAAGACTTTAAAATTGTATTTCCTGAAGGTAAGGGTGCTAGTTTACCCGTCTATTGTTGTTGCCTTTTAATATTGTATTTTACATTGTGATAAAAGAAAATTTCATAGTCTTAATTAAACCTTCTTATAAAGTGTTTATTAGACAGATGATTCAGAAAGAAGGTGCATTTTAGTGCTTCAAGTAATATAATCTGAATTTTAAAAGTTTTCTTCTGAGCAAAAAACATCAATCCCATACCTGTTTTGTTTTTTTTAGTCTTCTTATTTTAAACTGTGGTGACCCAGTCAACATCATGGTCCTGCCAGCCCACAAATGTCAGGCGTGTTTGAGGTGCATGATTACTCCTGTTTCCCTCCTATCTCACGTTCTATCTTTGATCCCCAAAGTATTTTCTCGTTATTATTATTTTTTGCTCCCAAATATTTAGTTTAAAATTCCACCTCTGGCCTTTTCCAGCTAAGATTCTGTTGGGAGGAAAACTTTTTCACTGCCAACTTGGAACTTCGGTCAAAGTGACTGGAGGCCTGTGAATTAATTGAAAACAGACAGAATAACAGGAGAAAAGTTTCTTTCACACACAAGTGGAAGCACTCCGCAAGGAATAGCTCACTCAACAGCCTGGGGTAAAGGTTTATACACCAACTTAACTAAAGGGAAGAGTTTTAGGGCTTCAGTGGGAAAATATAAAAGTTTCTATTGAGCTTTTTTATCCTGATGTGAATGGACAGTACTCTTTCTGTCTGGAAGCTCCCATGAGGGAGATTAATGGCGGCTAAATTTGCACCACCTGGTGTTAAGGCTCATCCTCCCTCTGAGGATGGGTCAACGACAGTTGTATTTTTAGGAGGCTTTGCTTAAGTTCAGACAATATTTCTCTCTGTGGCTGATTTTTGTTCAAATGTGTTAAAAGAAAAAGCCTCAGGCAAATTAAATTTAGCAGAGTTTAACTGAGCAAAGAATGATATGCAAATCTGGTAGCCCCTTAACCAGAATAGTTTTGAAAAAACTCTGATGCTCCAACTGGTTGAAGAAGATTTATTGAAAGAAAAAAGAAAGTGATGCACAGAAAACGGACGTAAGATATAGAAACATCTGGATTGGTTACAACTCCACATTTGGCTTATTTGAGTACATTTGAAAAGTTGGCTTCCTTTGATTGGCCAAAACTCAGTGATTTGCAAAAGAGTAGGTTACCATCTGTTTCAACATCTAGTTAGTTTATAGTTCACTCTGTACAGAGCCTTTAGTCCGAATTTAGACTATGTCAGGAGGCAGCTTTAGGCTAAAGTTAACTAAGGTTCAGTTTGAAGTAATCTTCACACCACTTCAGTGGGCAGTTAGTCCTTATACTAGACCAGAAATGTCTCCTTGTTTTCTGACAATTGCTTTGGTTTCTGTACTAAATCTCTCCATGTATTAGTTTGCCTCTAGATCCAGAATCTCTCATTATTGCAGTTTTACTTGATCACCTCTCCCTCTTTGTGTTGTTCAACCCCATTTCTCCTACTTGTCTAATATTCAAGACAGGTCAGACTTCTTCTTCTTCCTCTTTCTCTTCTTCTTCTTCTCCTCTTCCTCCTCCCTTCCTCCTCCTTCTTCTCTGAGTTGGGATTTCACTCTCTCACCCAGGTTGGAGTGCAATGGCATGATCACAGCTCACTGCAACCTCAAATCCCTGGGCTCAAGTGATCCTTCAGTCTCGGCCTCTCAAGTAGCTGGGATTACAAGTGTGCACCACTGTTCCTGGCTAATATTTCTGATTTTTAGTAGAGACGAGGTCTCACTATGTTTCCCAGCATGGTCCCAAACTCCTGGCCTCAAACAATACTGTCTCCTCAGCCTTTTGAAGTACTGGGATTACAGACATGAGCCACTATGCCTGGCTTTCCCTTTCTTCATGGTCAATGGAAAATTATGAGAAGACTTGAGTAAAAGAGAGTTACACCTTTATTAAATACTCTAATGCACAATGAAAATAGTTTTTTAGTTGGAAAGGATAATGTTAAAAATTTATAAATTTACCAGTAACATAATAACTAAAGTGCTTTGACAAAGTGAGATATTGTACAGGGATATAGATAACAAATTTCTGGCCATCTAGGGCCTATAAAGTAGAAAGTACCATTTAGCTTAGGGTTTTCATCTTTTTCACTTCTATGGCCTATGGCAGACACACTGCCTACCCACTTGTGTACAGAATAAGCCATTTCTGGTCATAATGCAGCTTGATCTTATAATTCATATGGCTATCGTCTTTGATTACTTATACTAAAGGGAAGTCAAGAATAGAGGTACAAGTATTTTAGGACCTAAGTTTTTTCCTGCTGCTATACAGACTCCCTGGGACTGGATAAATTATATAGAACAGAAATTTATTTTCTCACAATTCTGGAGACTGGACAGTTCAAGATCAAGGCACAGGTAGATTCAGTGCCTGGTGAGGGCTGTTTTCTGCCTCCAAGATGGCACTTATGCATCTTCACTTGGCAAAAGAGGCAAACACCTTTCCACCTCTTTTTTTATAAGGGTGCTAATACCATTTATGAGAGCAGAGCCCACATAACATAAACACTCCCTAAATCTTTCTTCTCTTGATACTATCACATTGGATATCAAGCTTTAACATGAATTTGGAGACTACATATTCAGACTAGAGCAGAACCTAAATGCCTGCTTCTAAAACTTCCACTCATTAAAGGCAAATTGTGATAATAGAGTTTTCTTAGGAGCACTTTGCTCTGTGTTTATTGCAAGATGCTTATTGTTCTTCTGCAATTTCATTTTCAAGTCTATGGAATTTTTAAAGTAGATTAGTAACACATTACTTTGAAAAATATATTTGTTTTGTAAAATGACAATATTTAGACAATTGCAATATTGTGAAATAGAAAACTTTGAGGGTGATTGAACTTATTTGAAACATAGCAATTATCCACAAAAAGGTACTGTAACAATAAGAAGCAAAAATATGCTTGTATTCTGTGGGTCTGCTAGAGTGAGTAGGCAATAAACTTAAGGAATTTGAGGAAAAAATTTTATATGGAATATTTACCAATTTTTTACTAATATTTAAAAGAGAATATTGAGTTCATAATCATACTGGTAAAGTTTAGCTAGAAAGGAGAAATTCATCAGTTCTAAAGAGCATATTGTAAGCTGAGAAACGGATATTACGTTCTAAGATACAACCACAATATTTTAGTTCATCTACATTGCCAAATTTGCTAGATAAATGGTGTTCTCTCTTTTTCATAAGAGTAAAAACCTGATACAGTTTTGCCTCTGTAGGAGTTCTTCAACAACTTATGACAATTTAGGTGAGATCATTTGGATATGAAAATGTCTCCCAGAATTACATTATCAGGAACAAATCACCTGGCTTACAGACAATGACTGACTTTACAGTGTTTGTGCAGGCAGGACACTAATAAAACACGCCAGAGAAGTATAGATCCGTTTTGCACACTCCTCTAGTCTCATTCAATTTAAGAATTTCTTTTTTAAAAAAACCAAAATGTATGATTAAGGAACTATAGGAAAGTACATGGCATAACATGTTACAAAGATTTGCCCCAACATCATTGTTGGTGAATCATCAACTGGGTCATGAAAAAAAGTTGTGATATTATTAAGGAAATCTGTGAATTCTTGTTTATTTACTCATGGAAGGAAGCTTTCTAAAATCATGGCCACTTTTTCACTTTGTAGGATAGTTAAAGCATGACTCTACTTTAAAGAGGACCCACGTTTGTGTTAACTTCCTAATTAGCTTTACATCCTGCAGTCCTAATTTTGTGAGCAACTACTGCTCATGGGCATCTCAGAAAACACCCCACTCATAGAAATGATTTATTTTATGGTTCTTGCATGCTCTTCTCCTTTTCGGCATTTGTAAAAGAAGATTGCAGTTATGCTGCAACTATTTTAAGCAGTTTTGAATGAGAAATATAGTATTTTTTCTTAACCCTAATACATATGTTTATGACTGCACTTTAATCTACTTCAACTCTTTCTAATGACAGGCCACTTCACTTTGGGTTTATTTGGATAACACTTTCTAAATACATTTCACTACCCCAGGCTAGTGGGCTGACAAAATAAAGAAGCAGACTCTGTGTGTGATATTTTAAAGGGAGGGAGATGCCAAAAGCATTGCAGGAAGAAATGTATCCTTAAAGATTATTACCACGGTGTCTACCAGAGTGAAGAGTAGGTGGCATAATATTCTGAGATATAAATTCTCTGAGGCAGAACATAGAATTTTACTACCTAAATGTAATAAGATGTATTGTGCTATCAGCAAAGGCTATGGAGCTCTATGTGATTAAAATAAAAAAAGATCCAAGTATCTGCCTTTAACTACCATTTAATGATAATGATTTTTGTCTTTAGCATTTATATTGAAAATCAAGAAAAAGGCAAGCTGCAGGCTATCTAATAATAATATGAATAGTAATAACTAACAATTGCCCTTCTCTTCTTCCTTAGTTCTTAGCAGTCTATGTTTATTCTCAAAGACAGTCCTCTTCTGTCATCTTAGTTTATATGGTAATCGAAATACTAGTTTTAAAATTGTGCTATACACCACATGTTGATGAAGAATTTTAACATACGATTCACATTAGAGAAGAAGACGACTCAGCAAAGGGATACTATGGTACTATATACCAATCTCTTACACGTTACCTCATTTATTTTTCATGGCAACACTTGAAGGTACATTTACTTTTACAAATGTGGGAATTAGGGTCTATAAACTTCTAATAGGCTTTTATGTGGTGGCTCACGCCTGTAATCCCAGCACTTTGGGAGGTGGAGGCAAGAGGAATGCCTGAGTCCAGGAGTTTGAGACCAGGCAGGCCAACTTAGCAAGACTTCATCTCAACAATAAATTTTAAAATATAGCCGGGCATGGTGACGTGCACCTGTAGTCTCAGCTACTTGGAAGGCTGAGGCAGAAGTATCGCCTGAGCCCAGTAGGTCGAGGCTGAGGTGATCTGTGATCCTGTCACTGCACACTCAAGCCTGGAGCGACACAGTGAGATTCAGAACTCAAAAATAAAAAAAATAAGAAAACTTCTAATCAATGTGGTCTCACAAATAGTAGTAACCTGGAACTGGCTTATAGTTGGTGACAAAAACGAGTTGTTAAATACTTAGAATTTTTAGGGGGAGCATGAAATTGTCCATGATGAAAGTATTTACACCATGAAAATCAGCAAAGGATGAAAACCAGTGCTCCAATCTTCTTGTCTGACTACACCTCCTAGAGCATGTTTACCAGCTCACCACTGCCAACTTCTGAATTTTAGTGCATGGATTCAAACCCAGGTTTGCCCTACACAAAAAGCACATGCTCATTCCTTTTTTCCAGTTTTACAAAGCTTTTGGATTTCTAAAATGTTGAGAGCTACCAAATTTAGAACTTTAGAACATACAATACGCAACAGCACTCTAAAGCACTTCTCCTTTAAACTTTGTTTCAATTTCTTCTATATTTTTCAAGTGTATTTGCCTTCCTCATTTCATGGGAACTTCTAGGGAGTTGAAACACTCTATGTATTTTTTTATTTTTCTACTATACTTCTTGGGATGTTTACCAAAATAATAAAATTGAACTGTAATATTGCTAGAAATTAGGTCCAACTAAACAGCATTGTTTTTAATTATTATTAAGTTTTAATATCTACCTAAAATATCATGAGCATAGTCATATGTTATATATACACTTATTTAAAACTAACGTATAATCATTTTGATATCTAGCTTAAAAAATAGTATGAATGTTTTAGTAAAGATACTACCATATGCTAAAGGTGTATAAGTGCTGTGTTCAATTAGTCTTGAAAATTTCAAAATGACAGAGGTAGATAGCAACATCTTGGTCTCTAAAATACAGCAAAATATTAAAATAGTATATGAACAATCTCCCTTCAATAAAAAGAAAACTAAAAAAAATTTTAAGTGATAAATTAAAGACATTGATCTCAAGTATTTTTTTCGGGTGGCAGTTAAAATAACATGCTTTCATATAATTACTAAGACATTAAAAAGACCCACATAGAAATGTTTATTTACTAAAACTGATATTTAGCACACAAAAACTAAGAAACGTTTATGTCCCTTCTCAATTTCAGGGGAGCCTATGGTCATGAATCAGGGAAGCGTCCTTGGATTTCAGGAGATGAGTGTATTGCAGGTCTTATGAAGGACATTGTAGGTAAGTACAAAACACAGTGATTTTTTTTTCTAAAAGAATTGTAAGGTTATTATTATTTAGGTTAAGTCATAGGTTAGAAAATCAAAATCTTATCAAAGCACATCCTGATTTTCTATTTTAACCCATAACAGTAAAGGGTAGGTATACCATTAACTTAGACATTCATTCATAGGCTGCTATAATGAACATAACCAGTTTATTTAGTACAAAAATAAAATATATGTTATTATTTTTCTTTTATTCTTTTTAAAGTAATATTTATTACCCCTATAAAAAACACATGTCAAGTCGGGTTCCGTGGCTCAGCCTATAATCCTGCGCTGTGGGAGGCCGAGGTGAGTGGATTGCCTGAACCCGTGGGTTCGAGACCTGCCTGGACAACTTGGCGAGACTTCATCTCTACAATAAATCAAAAAAATTAGCCGGGCATGGTAGCGCGTGCCTGTAGTTCCCGCTACTTGGAAGGCTGAGGCGGAAGGATCGCCGGAGCCCAGCAGGTCGAGGCTGCGGTGGCCGGGAGCGGCCACTGCACTCCAGTCTGGGCGACAGAGTGAGACTCCAACTCAAAAAAAAAAAAAACAACAACGAAACACATGTCATATTAACTTCTAATTAAATAAATGTCATAAAAATATCATAAAAAGCAACTGAAATAAATGTTCTATAATTTCACTATATTATAAAATGAACACTAACATTCACATGCTAAAGGTGTGAAACACCAATCATGTTTTGACTCATTTTAATCTTTGGCAGTCTACTTAAATTTGGTTTTTGTGTTATTGAAAATAATAGAACTGATGCTGTTTGGGGTCCACAGTGTTTCTTAAAGTGAGGTATATATACTGTTGATGGTAATTAAGATAGTTTTAGATGGTATATGTGTTAACATTTTGAAAAAAGTTATTTAATTGGGCTGAATATTCAGCATTGTCTGAAATCTTCTGTGCAATTTACTGAACAAAAACAATTATGGTGTTTTGACAACCATAGTGGTGTTATTTGGAAATATTTGAAGACTTAAGGGAACCCTAACTTTCAAGAGGCTTTTTTAAACATTTCCTTGTAAGCAAGTATAAAAATATCTTTATTGCCCTACCTTATTTGAATCTTGGCTTGTAATCACAGACAAATAAACTTGGGTTGTAAGGGAAACAGAATTAAAATAAGGAAAGTCGGACTTACTTATGGCAACTGGTAAATCATTACAATCTGGGAAGTATGTTTTTATTCAAAAAATAATTATTGGCCCTCTGCTTTATGTCAGGACTTGTGGCCGGCACTGGGGACATAAAAATGAATAAGAACACTTACCATTTTTACCCTCATGGGACTCCCAGAAAAGAAAGCTATAAAGAAATGTAAAATTAATCATTGTGATTTACACTTCAAAAGAGACATAATTTTCCAGTTGATAGAAGACTGAACATACGCATTTAAGTGCTCTTTTTTTGAAATCTCATTAAAGCATTTTTAATGGGATTAGCAAAAAATTCTAAAAAGTCTAAACCCCCATAAAATAGAATGACAAAGGAGATGATCACAACATCTTTTGGGAAGTTGGTTAGCATATAGACAAAGGAGTAACTGCCTTAGACAAAAAACAAAAAAAAATAAAACAAATCTTAATCTCCCAAAGGCAAAAAAATAAAAAGTCACTTGCTTACTCTGAAGATAAAGGTTTAAGACTCACTCAAAGAAGTGAAGATGAAGGAAAGGTAAAAATTTAAAAAGGAAGCTTGTTCAAAATTTACCTAAAATGTAATTAGAATTCCAGATCCCCTGGCTCACTCTATGCTGCCAGGTGAATCCTTCCACACCTCCACTCCAGGAGATGACTAAAGGGTTAATCTCTGGTATAGGGAGAAGACAGAGTCCCAGGTGAGGAAATGTATACTGTATCAGTCAGCTTAGGCTGTCATAACAAAGCCCCACAGACAAGGTAGCTAAAACAAAGTGGCTTAAACAACAAGGTTTTTGAGAAATTTAGTTTTGTACAGTTTTGGACGCTGAAAGTCCACGATCAAGGTGATGTCAGGGTTAGTTTCTGGTGAAAGTTCTTGGCTTCTAGATGACTGCCTTCTTACTATATCTTCACATGGTCTTTCTTTTGTGCACTGGGGGAGAGAAAGAGATCTCTGGTTTCCCTCCCTTTTCTTATAAGAATTCCTAAGGGCACCAGTTCTATCAGATTAAGAGAAAAGGTTTTACTTTTATGACTCATTTAACCTTAATTACAAATATATAGTCTTATCTCCAAATAAATATACTCACATATAGTGAGTATTACAGAGATTAGGGCTTCAATATATGAATTTGGGAAAATACAACTCAATTCATAATGTACCATAGTAAAAATGAAAGGGTTAAATAAATGTTTATCTACTTGTGCTCTAATTTAGCTGCCAGAACTCAGACTGGACAAGTCTTCCCTGTGGTATCTGGGCAACCTAAGGAGTCTGACATGAGGGCATTTTCTAGAACAATGACCCAATGGGATTATCTTTTCTTATCTTTTCTTTTCTTTTCTTTTTGAGTTGGATTCTCACTCTGTCACCTAGGCTGGAGTGCTGTAGTGCACTCACAGCTACCATAGCCTCGACCTGCTGGGCTTAGGCGATCCTTCCATCGCTGCCTTCCAAGTAGCTGGAACTACATACATGCGCTACCATGTCCGGCTAGTTTTTGTGATTTATTGTAGAGACGAGGTCTCACCAAGTTGCACAGGCTGGTCTCGAACCCCTGGGCTCAGGCAATTCTCTCACCTCGACCTCCCAAAGTGCTGGCATTATAGGCCAAGCCACCACGCCTGGCCTGGGATTATTTTACAATAAACCCCACCACATGCACAGAGGAGAATACATTCGTGCTTAATACACCTAAATTATAGAACTTTTAATAAAAATATATTTTTAGTTTCTAAACCATATGGGTATTTTAACTTTTTTTAAAAAATTTTAATTCAATACAAGAGTTATAAGCAAAAGCAATCTCAATGTCCTACTAGTAATTTTTGAGTAATCATCACACTATACAAATTTCCATGTGACTCTATTGTAGAATCAGAATATAGGCCTGTGGTTTAAAATAACAGATTTAGTATAACCTGAAAATACTCCATTCTCTGACAAACACAGAGATGTGATAGAAGAAAACTAAATTAACAAACATATAGCAACATTAAAAAAAAGTAAATAGAAGTCTGGATAGACCAGAAATATAGCCATTACTGAAGGGAGAAGTAGTCTCAAGTCTGAAAGCACGTGGAATCAGCCTTTCTGTGTAGGACCTGAATCAAAGACTTTTACTGAGATACCCCAGGGCAAGTCTGTGCAGCCCTGGATGGATGCTTGGGTCTGGAACCTAGGGCTAACATCTGTACCAGCCAAGTCTAGTAAATGCCAAAATAGAATTTCTTTACATGCCAGTAGGTTCTCAGGAACACGGAGCACTTGACCAGACTGTCAGAATTGTAAGTAGTTATTGTGTTAAGTAGTTTAATAAGGACTTCATTTTGTGTTCATTTCTTAGAAGCCAATTATATTCATTCAAAAGTCTAACAAGCAAACAAAAAAACCTGGAAAAAAATTTTCGATTAACTTGATGAGAGAATGCTTATTTTCCTTAGCTCTAGATTTTTTTTCTCTTTATTCAGTTTGTTTTTGGAATATAAACTGAATTCTAATCTTCTTATTTTGTGCTTAATATTTATCATCCTCTAAAGAGGAGTTAGAATGTTTATGTACAGGTCAGGGAAGTGGCAAGGTGATATAATTCAGTGAGATTTATTTATAAGGCCAATAAACCCTGCAAACAAGATTTCCTTTACCATTTAAAAGTTTACAGCTCTTTTGCAACTTATTAAATGTACAAGTGTTTTGTTGCCCAGTAAATACATGTATGTCACATAAAGTTCACTGAAATTTCAAGTCAGTCTCCTCTCATTATTGTTACAAAGGAAAAAGTAAAATAAAAGACTATAAATACTCAGTCTTGTTTAGAAACATGAAGGGACTGAACTTATTTTAAATTTTTTAAAGAAAATTTGTCAGCTTTAGCTGTAGGTGATTTTCTTTTTCCTTTGAAATATCACACAGAGTAATATAATTTATATTCTGGCTCCCAATTTTACTCCCGTTTCAGATGCCAGTCAAAAGTCCCAGGAGCCACCTATACTTCTGACCAACCAGCTATAAATTTGGAGTTTTCCATCGTGTTCTCCTCAGGTTCTATGATTTGCAAGAGCAGCTCACATAACTCAGGAAAATACTTTATTCACATTTACCAGTTGGTTATAAAGGATACAACTCAGAAACAGCCAATGGAAGAGACTTATAGGGCATGGTAATGGGAGAGAAAGCCATAGGCACAAAACTTCCATGCCTGCTCCGAGCCTGCCTCCCAGAATCTCACCAAATCTGGTTGTTCAAAAGTTTTTATAGAGCTCATTCTCCAGCTCTTCTCCTTTCCCAGAAGTTGGTGGGTGGGACTGAATATTCCAATCCTCTAGTCCCTCTAATCACTCAGTCCTTCTGGTGATCAGCCCTATCCTAAGACTATCTAGAGTCCCAATCCTAAATCACCTTGTTAGCATAAAGTCGGGTCTGATCTAAAAAGGCTTGTTATAAATAACAAAACGTACTTTTATCACTTGGACAATACAAAGGTTTTAGGAGCTCTGGGCCAGAACTGGGAACGAAGACCAAACCTTTGTTTTTATATCACATGTATGAGAAAAACTTCCTTTAGTTTTCTACATTTTTGTCTTTAAATGCTGTATTAATTAAATTAGATATGTTTGGTACCAAAATATAAAGTGGGATATAGAAGACAACAATTCTTAAAATAGGCAAACCCTATAGAACAAATGCATTGTCACATTTTATTTGAAGCCTTTTCGGTGGTCTGGTTTGTAAATCATTGTTAGGGAGTTTACAGCCTTAGGAATTTAGAAATTTGCCTTACCAGCGGGACTTTCCTTAACTTTTGGGTTCTTCTTA